CGAACGATACAGATTTTATGCCTTGGTGTTAAATATTTAACGCAACCATCTCCGAACTCGATTAAGAAGTTTCACTTCAAAAAATTCCGAAGAGTCCAGAAAAAGTCACCATTTTGACATGCTTCGGTTTTCGGTTAACCAGTTTTCCGGCGCAAGTAGGAGTAATTTGAATTTGTGCCAACTAACGCCAATTGGGGATGCCATATTTCGGCTAGATTTATGAACTTCACTATAGCAAACTTTTAGATCAAGTGGTATAAAGAACATAGCGTCAATATTGGCACTGAGATCAGGCCAATGGATAAATACTGGGCTATTATGGAAAAGAAATTGCTGCTTTATGAGCAAGTTGCCATAAAAGAAGAGGGTCTGCAAAAAAATGGGTGAAAGTGTCGTCGGAGGTAACACGAAATGATGTGCAGCATCTAATGAGGAGAGTTAATTCCAAACTGCGAGCTTCCGCGTATTCCGCGATCATATGGAGAAAAATGTATATCATATAAAATCATAGTTTCGTTCTTTTAGAATAAGCTTTCTAAATACGGATTTTGTTTGAAGGATCAGTTTTTTGGTTTCAAAAGAGTCGCGGAAAAAAACTCGAAAAGGTTCAAAAATAACCCGCAAAAATACCCTTTCCATTGATAGCGAAATTTTTCTTTCCCGTGACCACTTCATGGACCGCGAATTAAGCTACTCACTTTTCAGGAAATCACTTGAGAGGCTTTGTTGTGCAACTAGCGTATTTAATTGCAAAGGCTTGGGGAAAACCATTCAATAACTTTCTTTTACATTTTCCATTCCCTTCAGTGTATTTCCATTAATTTAATATCTCATCACAAAGAGTAGTATATGTTTATTAGTTCAAGCGTGCATCTGCGAATTGAGGTAGCTATCCTAAACTTGCACCAATTGGACACAGAAAATTTACTCTATACTTTCTTTCTAAGGCTTAATACTTGTTCTATTACCTTTGCTTTCCCCCCGTCCCACTCTCTGATCTCATTATTGTTAGATATATTCCTAATTTTTAAGTTATTGTATTCCATGTTACTAAGGTGGTCTTTAATTTTTATGTACAGCACAATAAAAGACTATGTCTTGTTTGTGTATAAATAAATAAATGAAAATGAAATGAAAATTCCTCGGAAAAATTTTACAACTTTTACAATTTTACCAAAGAAAATTTAGTTATTTTTCATTAGAAATCCAATACAAGCCTCCTTAGTTTGCAAACCTTGGCAAAATAGAAGTAGAAATTATGATCCTAGATATTCTAAATGAAATTTGTGTATTCATTATTTTTATCATTGGCACCAAAAAAAGAGCACAGAACTGTGAAAAATGAGTTTAATACCTTCAGCCATTTAAATAGTATATTTATACGTGTGCGGGTTTTAAGTAAACACCTAAATATGCACATAAAAACGCAAATATTATGTAGGTTTTTATTAGTAATGTTAATCTCGGGATAGCGGGATTATTTGCCTAGAATCCTGAGATGTTCGGTATTTGTAATTTACACTGGTGGCAAAAATATAAACGACTTAAGTTGACCGATTTTGGCTATATTCCTTTTGTTTGTTCAATATTCAATATTTAATGTTTAATATTTAATATTTAATATTTTTTTTTATAAATGTGTAGCTCATTATACATATAATACCTTGCGACAGGCAATTTTGCTCAACAAAAAAATCAATATACATATACATGAAAACAAGGGCCAAATATAGTAAGATTGCATTCTTCATTTTTCTCTCTCACGGCAGGTTTTTTAAAAGAACTTTAAAATGTGAAAGATATGAGCAATTTAATTTTTTTTTTTTAATTTCAGTGCAATGTACTTAAAAAACCAGTAAGGGTATTAAATGAGAGACAGAATTCTGTAATGTTAAAAAGGTTTACATTTTTGGCGCGGGACGGGTAGGTATTGAAAATACCCTTTTACAAATTTAACCTTGATTATCCTTGAAATTTTGCAATTTTTATTTTTGAGAAAATTATATGTTAAGGACTAACTGTTTTAGCTTAATAAATAAAATACATTAAAGTGGCATTTTCAATTCCTATTCGTCTTTGTGAACCCCAAAAATTCTTTCATTTGGTACCCATATTTTTGTTTTCCATTGCACTAAATTTTTTAAATAAATAAGTTTTAGAAATGATCATATCTTAGAAATTATAAAGTCTTAAAAAAAAATCATGACGTCAGAGAAATGCCCATTAATATGCACTTAATTAGATTAAATATGAGGGTAGACTTAAAAAAAAACATGAATATTTTGAATAAACAAAAGGAATATAGACAAAACTGGTCGAATTAAGGCACTTCTTTTATTTCTGCCACTAGTATTATGAACTTCTTTCAACCAGAAAATAAAATTCTTGAGTTAATATTTTTTGCATCGAGCTTTTTTCGACATACTTTAAATAAGTTTATCAGATATGTATACGCTAAAATTTTAGTAAATGCATATAAATAAACTTATTGTCTTTCGTTTTGGTAGTTATGAAATAATTTTCACTTTAAATAAAAGAGTACGTTTAAACCCATTTACTTAGTATTTATGATATGGTACGAGAGCTTCTCAAACCATATTGATGCAATTTTTTTCAAGTAAAGTTGTTTGAAAATTTGTATTTGTTATTTTATGGCCTTATAACAATTATATTCAACAACATCAACAAGCCTCAAGCTCAATAAAAATTGTTGAATATAGTTGTTGAAAAATAATAAATATCTAAATCCCGGAACTAATCCCGCGATCCCAGGATTGAACCAACGACATCCCGAAAATCCCGGGATCGTAAAAATCGAAAAAATTAACATCCCTAGTGTGTTGTGTGTATATGTATACATAGAACCATCTCTGGTTTAAAATCCACCCACTGCTCCTCACACATTTATCGTATTGGTTTTTGTATGGGAAATGCTATAAAAGTCATTCAACCATTTCAATAGCAACATTTGGCATTGCTTTCTCATTTTGGGAATTTTTCGAAAATCTTATAATATCAACAACATATGTACATATATATGTATATGCATGTGTTGGCTTAACGCACATCTTATTAAATGCATACTATACATGCAAATACTATATCTATAGCTAACGTGTACAAGCTTTAGCCCGTAGCAAACCCACATGCAAATATAACGGGTGATTTTTTTGAGGTTAGGATTTTCATGCATTAGTATTTGACAGATCACGTGGGATTTCAGACATGGTGTCAAAGAGAAAGATGCTCAGTATGCTTTGAAATTTCATCATGAATAGACTTACTAACGAGCAACGCTTGCAAATCATTGAATTTTATTACCAAAATCAGTGTTCGGTTCGAAATTTTTTATCGACAAATTTTGTTCAGCGATGAGGCTCATTTCTGGTTGAATGGCTTCGTAAATAAGCAAAATTGCCGCATTTGGAGTGAAGAGCAACCAGAAGCCGTTCAAGAACTGCCCATGCATCCCGAAAAATGCACTGTTTGGTGTGGTTTGTAGGCTGGTGGAATCATTGGACCGTATTTTTTCAAAGATGCTGTTGGACGCAACGTTACGGTGAATGGCGATCGCTATCGTTCGATGCTAACAAACTTTTTGTTGCCAAAAATGGAAGAACTGAACTTGGTTGACATGTGGTTTCAACAAGATGGCGCTACATGCCACACAGCTCGCGATTCTATGGCCATTTTGAGGGAAAACTTCGGAGAACAATTCATCTCAAGAAATGGACCGGTAAGTTGGCCACCAAGATCATGCGATTTGACGCCTTTAGACTATTTTTTGTGGGGCTACGTCAAGTCTAAAGTCTACAGAAATAAGCCAGCAACTATTCCAGCTTTGGAAGACAACATTTCCGAAGAAATTCGGGCTATTCCGGCCGAAATGCTCGAAAAAGTTGCCCAAAATTGGACTTTCCGAATGGACCACTTAAGACGCAGCCGCGGTCAACATTTAAATGAAATTATCTTCAAAAAGTAAATGTCATGGACCAATCTAACGTTTCAAATAAAGAACCGATGAGATTTTGCAAATTTTATGCATTTTTTTTAAAAAAAAAGTTATCAAGCTCTTAAAAAATCACCCGTTACTTTGGTTTTCATACATATGTACATATGTACATTTCGCATGCAATTGCTTTTTATGTGTATGTCGACACTGGCATTCAAATAAAGTGTCACGCATTTGACATTTGTCTGTGACATTGTGGCATTTGTATGGCATATGGCAATGTATGCGTTGCTTTCATTTTGAATTTTTCAGTCCAAGAGAACGTACATTCATAAGTACCTTCGACAGATTTTTTTTTACATTTGTTGGTGTGTATGTAAGTGTGTGTGAGGCGCCGCATTGCTTTTGGGTAGGTGTATTTTGTTGCCTGTCTTCACGTGTTCCGCTTTATTTAGCATGATTTTAGGCGTGAAATTCGCATGAATGAGCGCCTGCGTGGCTGAATAAATGGGTTATTGTGCAATGAATTGGGTGCAAAGAAACAAATGACGAAATTCATAAAAAACGAAGAGGTGGCAGTACGAGCATTTTCCAATGGGTTTTCTGCATAATAACCAGCAAATGGCGTGGATAATTAAGAAAAAATATTTTTTTTTTTGTGATTTTTTCTTTAGTTCTATATTAAAGTAGCAAGTGTATGTGTGACTTACCTTATAAATTCCGAATATGAGCATAACACTTAACACTATCATGGACATTTGTGTGCCAATAATGGCGAAATATGCTATTTGAACACCTGAAAGGAGAGGTAAAAAATTTAAGAATATAAAAATTGCTTGTTTTTAGCATTATAATGTTAAAAACACTTAAGTTTCGATATGGCACAAAAAACGCCGAAATACGTGCGCTTAAGATTGGGTCGTAGATTACGGATCGATATACAGGTTTGCCCAAATCAAGTAATTTTTGCAAGACATTTTAATTTTTATGTAGAAAAATATTCAAAAGGAAACAATTTTACTCATACGCCACATCGTACTTGGCGTATGCAAGACATTTTCCATGTTAACGTTTGAATTTATTTTTGTTTTTTTCAGTCGCAATGCAAACATAAAATGAAAATATCTTTGGAAAATTATCGGACTTAGAAAATTGGATTATAGATCTGTAATCTGTAACACAAAATTAAATTTACGTATCTCGGTATTTTTGTGTATCATTTTAACGTCTCTACAATGTAATTAGCAAGGTATATTTTTTATTTATTTGATATTACTTTCCATTATGAGATGGAATGATCTCGAGAAAATGTATCAAATTCAGATATCTTTTGCAAATGAAGAATCATGTTACACAGTGCTACAGCCACATAATTTTTTTTTTGAAAAATTAGAAGGAATCTGCGTAGAACCAAAATGTCACGTATATAATATTTATGGACACAAACATAGAAGACAAAAAACGAAAATAAACTTAACCTCAAAAATTACTTAAAATGCCCTAAAAAGCACGCCAATGAATATATGACAACAAAATTTTTTGCATATATTTTTAATACTATTAACATATTTTTTGTCCATCAAAAGTATCAAATTTAGCATTTATAAAGTGCAATTTTTGTCTGCTTATATTTATTAAAATATTTGGTCTATTTCTCTGATTTTTTCCCTGTTTTAAAGAAAAGTTATAAGAAAAACACGTTGCGTAATTGAATAAAAATATCAATCGGTTTTAGTTGAATAAAATTAATCTGACTACCTAGGATCAAGCAAATAATGAATAGCTGTTACCAACAGTTTTAAAAAAAGTGGGACAAATAGTTAAAAGAAATGTATGGGCGAAAGTAAAGATTAATGCATATATCGTAAAATTTTTTGGGAAATACTTTCGTAGAACGTTTTAGCCTGCTCCCGACAGAAAATTTCCTTTTAACCTTTACTTCATGAAACCCCACAAAAAGCTAATTTTGAAGCTCGTTACAGGATTGATATACTCTAGAAAATTATTCTTCGGAAAATTTTACTAGGGATCTTCTCAGGCGAAAGCTTCATGCCACTCCCGTAAAAGCCTCGCCAAGTAAGAAGAAAAAAGTTAATATTGGCTTATTTCTCACGCTCCTACAGTATGAGATCAAGGGAAATTCAATCCAGCTATAGTTACTTTAAATTTACAAAATATTTAACAACGTTCGCTGCCAATTTGTGTAATAATCCACAAACAGGCCGAAGTAAATATCCGCTAAGAAATGGCTTTGTGAATTAACCCAACATCCCGTGTGTCAAATAATGCGCTCATTATTACAGCATCGCACAGTTTACAAGTGAATTTAATAGCTAAATTGACAAGCGGATTATAGCGCCTTAAATGAACGCTGACACGCACAGTTCGTACATGTATATGCGCATATATATGCACTTGTATATACATATCGAGGGATTGCTTTGTATCCTAAACAAAGAGCCTGACTATAGCTTTCGTTGAGTAAGTATGTATTTTGTGCAAAACTGGACATCGCTTAGGCCTTTTATGCTACATATTAAGGACATTTGGTCGAACAGGTCCTTTTTAGAGACATGCATACATGCTTTTGTGTATTGCTGTTGGCATATGTGAGTGTGATGCTAGCATATGTGGGTAGTTAAGTAATGAAAAAAGATATGAATATACACAAATGTATAGAAAATGTGTTTATATATTTTTTCTTGTATTAATCAGCTTAAAATATAAATAGGATCAGCTTCTTTTGTTGTTTGGCTAGCGTTCGATTTTGTAGTATTCTAAAGGAAAATATTACTATCTACTTTAATGGTTCTTGAGTACAAGAGTCTAAAAATAGTCAAATTTTAGAATATAATTAAATACAAATACATTTTTTTTCTCACACACACTTACCATAGTAAACATCCTCCAGCGTCTCCGCTTTACGCATATTCACATTTATACGCCATGAGTATATTAACACGATTAAAAGTGACATATTCTGAAAAAAAATAAAATAAATGAACGGAAATAAATAACACATTAAATATTAGTTGGTATGTAGATAGTTATTATTGCGATAAATAATTGCGCTGAATAAGTAATTAATATGTCATTAAATGCACTCAAACTCTGCGGACCGCATGTCACTCATACGCCATGGCAACATACGCACGCAAACCACTTAACTTGCTTTTTTTCAATAGGGGTATTCTCTGAGTCTTGCAAAGCCCTTGCACGGTGCACAGATTGCACGGATTGCACGGTAAAAACCGGTTTTCGTATGGGACAGCTTTGCAAACCGTGCAATCCGTGCATCTTGCAAGAGCTTTGCAAGACTCAGAGAATACCCCTAATATGTATTTTAATTATGCATATGCCGCATTTCAAAATAAATGAAAATTGCGGTGAAGGAGCCGTAGAGGGGCCTACAATAAAAACTGTAAAATAATTTATAGCGCATACATTAAATGCTGTTAATTAGGATAATTGATGTCATTAATGTAATTAACGTATCACAATGAGACATAAATTAATGTGGGCATATAACAACATAGGTGCACAAATATGTACATATGTATGTATACGTGAATGTATGTGCGTATGCAAATACATATGTGTCTTAATAAAAAATTTTGAATGCATGCAGATGACCATATATCAACATAGCGTAGAAGTTGGAAAAGGCCGCATACATTATCTTCAGGCGGTTGTAAAGTTTTTTGTTTGATGTGAAACTCTTATGCGGCGGTATCGCAAAAATGGAGAGTGAAATTTTTAAATCTGAAAACGTTACATGAGTGAGAAGGAAAATATAGGAAGGAAAAAACGAAATAGAGCGACGCATGACGGGTACGAGTACCTACATATGTATATATGTATATTTGAATGCACGTATGTATGTATACATAAATATGAACGAACTCATTGCGCATTTCAGCTCTGCCGCTACCAGGCAATATATGTATAAATGATGCAAGCGTGCTTCGCGTAACTACATCCATTCGTACATATGTACATACGTTTGTGTGGATATATTTATGATGAAGACTTAAAGAAGGTTAAAATGATTACTATTCTCAACTGAAGTAACTTTTAAGTTATATTTCCAGCTACCCGACCCGTGCTGCAGTGCATTTTAAGCGGAAGTGCTCGTCACTCCAGATTCAACATAAAGCCAGGGTAAAGGAAGAAGTGCTTGGCAAGGCATGGTAAGGCAGCTTTGAAAGATTTAGACTCAAACATAGACAATGCAAATTTTTACTTGGCCTGACTTGACTTGACTTAAGAAGGGGGCATGGGATTTTACTCGGAAACTCTTCTATTCACCTGGCATATTCTATTTATTTCTCTACACTTTTTTTTTGAAATACCATCGAAAGTATTCAGCAAAAATACTTGTCAAATTAAATTTTCTCCCTCGAATTATGCTGAGGAAGATTATATTATTTCTATCAAATATATCAAACTCAATGCAGATTGCAAAATTAAACACGCACATGCATCACGCGCTTGCTATTTGGGGGTATATATCGAAAAAAAAACAAACATTTACACGCAAAATGCAACAGTACCAATTTTAACTAAGCACGCATCGTAAGCGCTTAGCCTGAACATGTTCGCTTTAAAATGTATGTCACTTGCCACATGCCAGGCGCATTAAAATCGCACAAATTTAATTTAATTTTTAATGCTATTTATGCGCAGAAACTACATGTACGGTGGCATGTAGTTGGAGCCAACATGGCGTATGCGTGATTTTGGGGCAATGTTGATTTTATTTTTGTACATTTTTGCTTTTTCCCTCGCTTCTTTCGCTTGCTCATGCTGGGGCACAGTAAAACGAGGACAGGCGAATATATGTATATTCAAATGTAAATATGTATGTGCAATGTACATATATCTATGCCTGCATTTCAAACACACATGCACGCACAACAAAAACGCCCAGCTAAACCGATTTTTTTCCACTTTTGTTCGCGCTGCTCATGCCACTTCTCATGTCACTCAGCCGTTTTTAATTTCGTTTCATTTCATTTCTTTGTTTCTTCAGCTAAATTTCAAAAATATATAATTTTTTTAATTTTTTGTTGTTTCCTGTAATTTCATTCAAATTATACTCACAATTGTGTAAATCGCACTTGTTAACGCCAAATTTTTCGCATGCAACATCCGACAACATCCTGTCCCCGTTAGCGGTCCATATGGATACAATATCACCGATTTCATTTTCTCACCCGCACCCACACCGACACCAGTTGCGGCTGCCGCCGCCGCCACAACACACGTTTTATGTTTGGCTTTCATTTTCATGTTTGTTCGGCTGTGTTGTTGATGTGCTTTTTATTGTTGTTTTAGCTTCTTTGGTATCCTTGTTGCTGTTGAAACACACGTATTCGTGGCACCTTTTGCTGGCTTGGCTTGCGACGAGTTTCTGCTGACTGGTGTGCTTCTAATTCTTGCTATTATTGTTGTTCTTGTTGCTGCTCTTTATGCGGTATATGCAAATAGTGTTGCTTTGCTGTATGTCACAGTTGGCATTAGCGTCGCATAGATGCCACACACAAGCTGACGCCCATACTTTTTGAAAAGAAGCTTTACTTTGCAAACTGGTATTTCTTTGCTCTTTTTTCGCTCTTCTCTCTTGCTTTCTTTGCAATATGCTTTCGCATTCATTTGTTAAAAAACCAAATTTCATGCGAATTTTAGATCGAAAAACTGGTATTTCGCATATTTATGGAAGAAATATGAATGGCCAGAGCCTTTGGTAGCCAAATTAGTGCTGCAATAAAAAATTAGTGTTTTTTTTTTTAATTAGTAGGAGTTCAGAATTTTAGCTATATTTAGGAGACTTTTTTCAGAACTATTCTAAATATTTATATAATTTTTTTTTTTTGAGTTTTTATATTTTGTATTAGCGTCGTACGGACGTAGCGCGAAATTTAATACCGGAAACTTGCGCAAATATCCGTAAGCACAATATTGGTATCAAATAGAAATTCTTCAAACCAAATTTGACAAGAGATGGCGGAAAATCGTTCCACGTCATCTTCATACCCTGGCGCAAAGTGTACAAAAAGGAGCAGCTGTTGGAAAAATCGTTACCTGTAAATTTGTCTTTGGCAGTGTTGCCACTTATAAAAAAATCATCACTGACTAACGAAGTAAGCTTACTTTGTATGGACGTTACGCCTTATGTGTCCGTAATTTGTAAAATATATGTTCAAATTTTTGTTGTGAGCTTTAGCCAAAGAATCAAACTATTCTAATACGAGTGTGAATGCTATCTCAAACTTAAAATTAATTTATTATTAGGATTGCCATCTTTTGCCATAACCATTTTTTACTTCTTAGTCAGCATTTTAAAATACAAATTGCATTGAATTGTACAAAAAGAATTAAAAGAAACTTTTCGGACATGTAAGATGGCTTTTAGCAAAAACTAAACAGTTAATCAAAAACATTTTAAAGGAAATTTTTCAATAGTGTACCATGCTTTCAAAAAAGGAGTACTATAGGTAGAAGGGGCCGCCTACTTATTATATCGAAAAAAATATATTCAAATTTGTGAAACAAAATTATCCTCAAACGAAAGCACTTTAAGGATTAAGGTACTCGTTTTATTTCTTTCCGTTTATATTTAATGAAATGAAAATTTGCTAAGTGCGAAAAAAGCTAGGGAAATTCCATAAGGCCAAAGTTATACGAAATCTTTTAATTAACATCAAATCGAAGCCTTCTTATTCGTATGGACTTCTGCTTTGCTTTTAACATGCAAAATATTGCATTCAAAGTCAAGAAAATGGATGTAAGAAGTTGGTTTCCTCTTCAGTAAAACTTTGAAAAACGTAAACGCAAAGCAGGCGATATATTTTTTTTGTGTACACTTGCCCCCTAAACATATACATACGTATGTATGTACATATATAAAAAATAAATTACCTAAAAAAATCTTGATCTGAGTTAGTCAACTTTCCAAAGATCAGTGATTAATAAATTTCAGCTTTGAAAATCAAAACACTTTTAAAATGGAGTTGCTACGCTTTCCAATATTTTATTTTTATTTTTTTGTTTTATTTCAATTACAATAACTGATCCATGTTAAAATATTTAAAAAATGCAATTAAAATTTTTTGTTTGATTATGCATTGAATTATTGAGCAAGTTTTAGCATAAAAGTGTTGGCTGCTCGAAAAGAATTTTACTTAGACATATTTATAAATAGTGTTGCCATCTAATCACAAAATTTTAAATATTTGAAAGCAACAGATATTCCAAGGCTGATGGATGTTAGGCTTTAAGAGATGTTTGCAGCTCTCTATAAAAACGCAAAAATTCATATAAAATGCCGCACAAAAATTGGAAAAGAAACATCCTTGTACCAAAGTTTCTTAAAATAGTTTGCAGCTTTCAAGAAAAAAATGCTCGTACATTTATTTCTTGCATCATTGGTTTAAAATAAATTGGATTAGGTTGGATTGCATTGGGTTGGCCTACATATATATATGTATGTGAAGAAGAAGACTTAAAAATCTACATTGATTTTCCATAAAAAAAAATAAGAAAAAGGTATGGTACTTCAATATAGTAAATGCTGGACAGTTGAATATCTTTTCAAGGCTATCTGGCGCAAAAAGAATTTGACTACTTCGCATATATCTCAAAAAATAATATTACGTATCTAGTACTTAGAAAAATAAACTTCCGAAACTCCAAATCATACTCAAGTCGCTTACATCACCCCACAAAAGCTCTTACGGGGTCTACATGTGCTACCTGGCTACCATTAACCATAGCCATTCACCCACAAACTATTAAAATTAATTTTTTTTTTATACAAATAAATTTAATCCGAAGGAGAGCAGTTTTACTGAGTTGATGGACTAAAATTTTTATTTCAAAATCACAATTGCCCTTTTAAATCTTGGCCTTTTAACTTCCTCTTCAAAATATGTAAATATCAAATAAGGTTTGACTCTTCTTGTTTACTTTTACTTTATTAAATTCCTTTTCTGGTCAACTCAAAGTAAATGTATAAAAATAGATGCATACATACATACCAAGTAAATTAATTTGATTCTCTTTCTAAATTCACAAACTTGTTCTTCGTTACTCTCCACCAGCCGAATGCTAAAAGCAATACCAAAGTCAACTCAAAAAACTTAAACTAACAAGCCTAGAGCACAACGTATAGCACGCCACACAGCAAATTAAACTCTACTAAATTAGCAAAATTTAATGGAAATACTTTTGTAATTTAGCCAAAGATGATGACCGCCAACAACCCAGCGGCTATGCGCTACGCAATCCCCAACGTCATCCTACCACCAGTAAAGAGAAGAATAATCATTATGAATACTTAGCTTAGAGAATGGCTTAGAATGGCTGGTAATCCCCCAAACGCCCAAACGCTCAAAATGTTAATATTGTAGTATGCAATAATCTTAGCTATGCCGCGCTGACACCATGCACCAGCATAGGAAGTTGCTGTTTTTGGATAAATGTCTTTTATTATCACTTTGGTTTGTTTCGCTTGTTATCACTGTTCTTTTTATGTTATTTTCTGCGATTTAGTTTTTCATGATATGTCCGACATGTGGCAGGAATAAGGCAGGAATTAAGGGAGTTTGTGATTTGTTTTGATGGAAGCGTTAAGTAATGGGGTGAGAATTATAAGTACACATTTGATATTAAGGAAAAACATATAAGTATTAGTATAAAATGAATAGCAAAGAATACACGAATTTATAATAATATATTTATATTTTAAAAAGAGAAAAAAGTTTCGCGTAAAAGTTAAATTAGATAGACGGCGATTAGTTCTAATATATAAATGTTACTCATACGCTCTGGTGTTTTCGGTAATCAAATATTTCGCTAGCTTAGAGTGCCCAGCTGCTACGTCCATTTTTGATTTTTTTTTTTAATTTAACAGGAGAGAAAAAGGTTCTTGTAGCCATTGGCTTCAACTACTTCGCAAATCTTTGAATACAACATTTTGCTCGTTTAAAGCAAAGCAAAGCTATGTTAAAAGATTTCGTATTATCTTTGTTTGTCGGATTCTCGGTGCCTCCTTTAGGCTTAGCAAATTTGCCTTTAATTGCATACAAAGTAGAAAAAAGGTGTCCCTTAAACCTTTTGGAAACTATGCATTTTTAATATCCCTTGCTTCCTATAACAAAATATGAGTTTTCATAAAAAGTGGACTTAGCAACTTTTCCCTCTAAGCTATCGATTTACTTAAATATGCGATTTGAGCGACCCCTGAATATATATCCTGGGCGGTGAGAGCACTAAAATTCCGACTTTTATTTTATATTTTTGACCACCCTAATGTACACATTCAACTATGTATGATTATGCAAGATTACCGATTAAAGATGCTTAGTAACTGAGTATATGGCGGCTAGTGGCTAGTTAGAGGTGCGCACTACCACTCCGTAGGACCTGGGTTGAATACCTGATCCGAGCAACATTTAAATAAGAAAACGGTGACACTTGGTGGGGGTGTCCCTCTATTCCCTGCAGAAAAAAAAATATCAATTGACAATAAGTTACCCACTTGTACTTGGTTTGCTTTTTTGAGCGATTTCGATAAAAAACATAACTTTTAGTTAGCTACAAAAAGCCAACTTAAAACTAGTTGAAATGTAATGCAGGAGTCTTTACGATGTAATCTGGAGTTTGTTTTCTTGTAACAAGTTTCTATTTAAATATTCTCAGACAATTTTTTCTGCACTTCACAACTACTTTTTTCGAATTGAGGAAAAATAAAAAGAAGATCGAAATTTATATTACCGTTTTGAAGTATGTCTGAAGGAGTTCGAATATGCGCCCTCCTAAAGCAGAATATGTAAGAAAAAAAAGTTTTTCTTATTGATATTTTATGTCTAACAGTAGTTAGTTACAAGTTAGTTGACATCTAATGCAGAGGTAACCACCCTTGTAATCAGAAACCATAAGCGGCAACCATGAAAGGACCATTAGACACTTGATGCAGGACGCTTTAAACAAAACATATAATTGGTGTAGGAAAGAGGGACTATCCATAAATCCCAATAAAACAACAATCATCCCTTTCACTAGAAAAATTAAGCTATGCTTGCTAGATCTAAACCTAGATGGGACTGTGATTCCCCTTAAGGAAGAGTTCAAATATCTTGGCATAACCCTGGATAGGGAACTCAGCTGGGAGTCACATCTCAACTCTATTATCAACTCTCTTTATCAACAAAGCAACGAAATCGTTGTTAACGCCGGGACGTCTCGTTAGGAAAACATGGGGGCTACATTCAAAAATGACTTTCTGGGTATATAGTAGATGGTCAAACCGATGATAGTGTGTGGAGCCAGCGGACTTCAAGTGTTTTCACACTTAATTCGCTTATGCATATGATTTACCAGTTGTCGAATCTTCAAGCAGAAATCTCTGAAACGGGGTTACCTCGTATTCGAATAGACGTAGATGGCATGTCTGCTTGCTGATACAGCCAATATCGCGATAAGAAGATACTGCTCAGTATGATGAGTGATGAATGCTAACCAGCCATTCTTGCCTCACTGGCCATCCATATGAAGCGCATTGTATGCGGCGCAACTCAATACAATTTTGTTACTGTGCAACTTCCTCTCTTGCGTCGCAGCTATTAATATTGCATGCGGGCCCACGAAGATGGCTACTCTGGAGTCCATTGAACTTTAGTAGGAGTAGCTTAATCTGCCTATC